TCCTTGCTTAAATCTAGTTCTGAATGAGTGAAGTGTTCTTTTCTGTTTTGCTTAGCTACGTGAAGGGCTACTATGCTTTTGGACTCATGGAATCAAACTTTTTTGATCGTGCAGAGAAGCTTGCCCGTGAGGTAAACTGCCCGTTCTTGATGGTGAAATGTTTTTAGAGTTGTTAGTCATGTGCTCCCTATCTCTGAGTGCTGTTTTGCACAAATGCTGTAAACTGACTCTTCATTATTGCAATTTTTAGTAGAAGTAGGAAAGAGCTACCGGAAATGCTCAGTTTCATAGGAAACTGTTAATAACTATCCCTTAGTAGGATTCCTTCGTCTATGCCTTTTGCTGCATCCCCCTAAGTGTAGCTGGCTGTTAATTTCTAGTAAAGAATGTTAAATTGATTTATTGTAATCTGCTCTTGACAGTTCATTCTGTCATTTTTTTTTTCTTTTTTCCAGACACGTAGTCATGGATTAGTGAGCAGCTGGGTGTACAGTGTTCCTGGGGATCAAAATTAGTCTGCATATACCCTTTTTATAACGATAGTAGTTGTGTTTGATCTTCTGCAGTCTTCAGGATTATTGCTGTTGCCTTGTGGTCTTGGATGGAGTTAATCTCTAATGGGTGTCTTGGCAAGGTTCTGTTGCATCAGGGGCAGATGAAACTGCTACTCACTAACCTTACAAAATGGCTAAGATACTGTGGCAATTGGAGCAAGAAGGAGTTACTTACTCCGTATTCAGTTCTGGCTGTGGTCTTGAAGAAAAAGCACTTGCTTGCAAGGAACTGTTGTAGACTGTATTATGCCTGTGCATGCAACTCTTTCATGGCCAGTTCTGACGTATGTCTGTGGAATGAAATGTTGTTGGATAAGCTTCATTGAATCCTGCATTCTGAAGCTGTTTTGCACATGTTCACCTCTGTGCAGTAGAATTCAGGAAATTAACCAGAAAACTTTTTCTTCCTTTCTGTCCAAGTCAGTCTTTCAGGTGTAGCTGGTTGGAGCAGGCCAGGGTTGTACCTAACATCCAGCCAGTAAAATTAGTCTCTTGTTTCCCTGTCATCAGTAATAAATGGTTATTTGCCAGTTTGAGAGAATCATCACGTTTTCCTTTTTTCACTCGTAGGCTTTGGATGTAGAGCGGACAGATGCGTGGTCTGTTCATACTGTAGCTCACGTAAATGAAATGAAAGCAGAGGTGGAGAAAGGGTTGGCGTTCATGAAGGAAACAGAAGACAACTGGAAGGTAAGCTTTGTCACAGCATCTCTGAAAAATATCTTTGTAGGTCGTCTTTGCCTGCTCCAGCCAAGTCCTGCAGTTCTTCATCTCATTCCTTTCTGCCTGTGTATGTGTTACAAGCAATGCAAGTTTCAGAAATGAGTAGAAGACTTCACTTGAGGTGCTGTTATCCATGCTGATTTTGAAGCAAGAGGCAGAAAAATGTCCGTTCTGAAAGGCACGTGCTCTGGACCACTTCAAGCCATCTTTACTGAGATTACTCGGATGCCAAATTGCACACGAGTTGGGAAGCGTTCATGCAGTCTGTCCTCTCTCAGTGCCTTATGTTAGCTGGGAGTATTGTTTAAGTAAAACAACACACTGCTTTTCAACAAGAGTGTAAGTTGTACATGCACACACCATGGTGTTTTTGTGACATAAAGCCATGGTCACTGCTGGCAGATGTGGCATCAGATAAAACTTTGCTGTGATTATTATGGTTCATTGATATGCACATGTTCATAGCAGCAAAGTGGGCAATTATATTTTCATATGCCTTTTGCTTAGACTGTGAATCAGACGTCAGTACCAAAAGTGACCAAAGATGAGCTGTGAAATAACACGTCAAAAACACACAGTTCAGAAAGGTCGTGTAATTAGTTTGTTCTTGTGGTTGGTTTTGGGTTTGGTTTTTTTTTTTTTTTTGGTGTTTTTGTTTGTTTGTTTGTTTGTTTTTGTAGTTTGGTCAGTTTTCTTTGCTTCTGGATCTGAAAGGCTTCGTATGTCAACTGTAAGAAAATAAAAGAGAAATGATGCTTCTGTCTCTTTACTAGTCTTCTGAAGTTGCTTTGTGTATCTGACTAGTTTGTTATATAGAAAAACATTGTATTGGACAGCTTAATTAGTTTGTTATGTGGTCCTTTGCTGCAACTAAACCTTAATTTTTGTTTGTGATGTACAGCCTGTTTTTTCCTGACCATTACCCATGAAGCAGGTAATACAGTAATGTTCAGAGCAGGAGCTTGTGTGGTTTGCTGTTGAGAGAACTCCCAGGAAATTATTTCAGTAACTGAGGTCATCATTTCTCCTCACCCTAAGAATAAGGCCGGATAATGAGACTAGATGGATGGTTTACTTTTCAGGTGTTTTTGATCGGTTCAGATATCAAGCTTAGATGTGCAAACAACCATCTCTTGAGGTTCATATCTGTCATGTCTTTAGAAGGCATCTCATCCTTTGACACAGTACTTTTAAGGACAGTTTGGGTGGCACCTTCAAAACCACCACCAACCATTTTTGAAATGGCTCTGTTTTGGACTCTGTTTCTTAAAATAGTTCCATGTCTCTATCATTTATAGCCTTTATATGAATCAAACAAAATGTGGAATAAAGCAGAAGTAGAATTGTCTGATAGATCCTCTTGCCTGGTCCAGTATAGTTAAGACTTATAACAACTGACGTTGTCATAATAAGGCTTATAATAGCTGACGTTGTCATAATGAAACGTATATATTCACTTATGCAATATTTTTCATTTTAGCCATCATGAAGCCAGTTAAGATGTAACCATGTGGAAGAAAGCAGAGCTCTCTAAAGCCTTAAATATAGTTGCTTGTTTTTGGAGTGATCGATTTTCTAATGATTGGGATTACCTATCTGTACTGCCAGAGTATTTGGGCTCTACTTGTTGCCCATTTCTCATTTAGCAATTTAATCTCATTCAGAACTCCAGGTCAGCAGCAGAAGAGGGGTTTTGTTTTATTCAGTGAATATCCCATACTATTATTCATATGTTGTTTGGTATGTTCATATGATAGTAACCGTGGTATGATCAGATTTAGGCCAAGCACTTAACTTTTGAGCTGCTGCTGTTGATTTTGCGGTGTAATATTAAACAAGGAAAGATTCCTACAGGACTTACTGCAGCTCGAAAAAGTTCTGACATTCACTGGGTATCTTTATGCTTCCTGCAATTGAAGCACTTGTCAGCATGATAATGAAGATGCTTTTTTTACTTGTGAGTAGATTAAATTTAACTACTGTGTTGAGAGAGACTGAGAACAGAAAAACTTTCTGGTATTTTGGTTTTTCCCTTAAGGATAATGGAATTATAGTCCTGTTTGTCTATTTTCAGCTTGCTCACAAAAGTTAACAGCAATTACATTGCCTTGAAATACGGGCTAGGAAAGAGCATTTGAGCTCCTGGTGTCAGCTGGGAAGTATGGTGCAAGGTTGGTAATGGTCAGGGAATATTCATCTCATCTGAGGAGCTGCCCACGTGTCTGGTATCTATTTTGTAGTCCGTAGTAAGACATAAGTTTGAGAAGTGATTACTCAGTCTGAGATGGAAATCTAGGTGAGTAGGAGGAATGGCCCTCATAAGGTGGGCCTTTCCTGCACGCTGTCTAGCCACATTGCTTCAGTCAAGACCCTTACATGTTAGATGAGACAAATCTTACTCTTGTGATAGACAGTTTGTGGACTTTTTTCCGAAGGAGTGCTGCAAAAGGGTGAATTCTCCTGAGGCATCCAAGCGCAGTTCTTCTCTGGAAAAAGACTTGGGGAAACTTTGGTTTTTGTAGTGTCTGCCTGAATTGGAAAGGAGCGAGTGAAAGAGTGAGAGATTTCATGTAGGCCAGCAGATGTGAAGTTCTTGTCTGTCCTGTCTTTTGGAGCACTCGGCAGTTGAAGAGGAAAACCGAAATCCGCCTAGGTATGTTGAGATGAGAAGTTATTGTGTAAACCATAATATTTCTCTGCTTTTTCTTTTTTGCAGGGCAGTGATATGCTTGCTTGCCACAATTACTGGCACTGGGCTTTATACTTTATGGAAAAGGTATGAGATATTTTCCTACTGATGATTTATGGTCCAGACAGAGAATTCATCCAATGCTAGTTAAAAGGCAGTCCTAGCATGTATAGGGATTTATAGGTTATTTCAAGGGATGCTGTTATAAAATAGCACAGTGATGTTTTTACAGGATAGTCCTGTAGTACCATTATTTTGGCAACTTCTAATTACACTGAACAAAGATCCATTATCTTTGCTAGAATGTTGGAGGATTGCTGTGAAATAATCTCACTGATTACACCTGGCACGATTATTTGATGGATATAAGAACTTGGATCACCTATTTTTAGAAAACAAAATTACAGAAAGTTCTCTTCAAATTCGGTGCAAAGCTGCTGACCTCAAAATTGACTGGCTGAAACAAGACACTAATCTCTGTAGTTCAATCTCTGTAATTCAAGTGATTTAGGATCTAGTGAAACTCTTTAGTAACGATTGCAACTTGCCCCGCATATCAGGTTGCAGTGCAGAATCTCCTTGGAGTTCATAATGCTTAGCACTGGTCACATTTGTCTCCTTAATGAATTGAGCCCAGTGTCATTGCAGAGGTGCCGTCCTTTGGTCAGAACACAGTGTCAGTTGTTTATGCTTCGTAGTAATGACATAGAAAGCGTAGCTCTCAACAGTAGTCTAGTACCTTGTTTGTTTTGCCACCTTCTGTCCATACAGATTTTTTTTACAGCTTGCTTAAGAAAGTGCATGTTTTATGAAACAGTATTTTTTTGCAAAGAATCCTGAAAGAAAGATGAGAAAGAGATGAAACCTCATCTTTCTCCTTTGTGTGGAGCACACGTCAGTATTTGTTCTCTTTATTAAATGAAAACTGAATATACTGGTTATTTTAGCTAGTAGATCCTGCTTTATCTTGGTCTTTTCTCTCTTTATGTTTGTTTATTTGTTTCTGAAATCATGAGACAAGGAAGTAATGTTATGGCATTTCTTAATTGTATTTATATCTTTGGTTGCTACCCATCACTCTTGCTTAGTCTTCCAGAATATTAATCACATGGTCCTTGTTTGCTTTTACAGGGGGAACATGAGGCCGCTTTGACAATTTATGACAACCATGTGAGTAGGAGCCTTTTATATTTATTGAAGGGCATGCTGCAGATTGTGATATGTGTTTTCTTCCTTCTGCAAGAAATTGAAACCTACCATAATTTTGTGCAGTGCATGTAAGTTTAATTATCTGAGCAAGTTCCTGGTAGCACAGCTTATGAGCACTTGTGATTACAGATAGCTCCCAGGCTGCTGTCGGGTAGAAGCATGCTGGATTTAGTAGATAGCTCTTCGATGCTGTACAGGCTTCACCTGGAAGGTAGGATATCCAACTGTAATTCTTTTTAAACAGTAAGGGGAACGGTTTTCTTTTTGTCTCCCCCTCCAACACACACCCTGGCATGTCAGAAAAGTGTTTAAGGACACTTAGAGAGCAAGCTTGGTCAGTGTTGCAGAAGAAATCTTGCCATTCTGCTCCTGAGAAAAGCCCCAGTGTGATATTTATAATAATAAGCTGAATTGGTTTGGGTGGAATAGAGTTAGTATCTCATTCAGCTTAAGCTAACGTGGGTCACGTATTTATTTATTTCAAAGTTCAGCTTACATTGTCCCTGGAGATGTGAGGATGAAAAATCAAGTATGTTAGCCTCTAAAAAAGCTATAGAGCTTTCTCTAAGCAAATTTCAAATTAGATACTTCATATTTTGATATTGATTAGCCTCTGGCTTTTGTGTACTCCTGTAACTCGTTGGCATTTCTTGTTACATTTTCAAAGCTAAAATTTGTATTCCTGAACAAGGCAAAGAGGAGTGACTTTACTTGTATGCTACTGAAAGACCAATGGTGTATTGGGTTTATTTATGAAATTCATCTTATGACTCTGCGTTATTTGATTGCTGTGGGTGAATTGGAATGAACATCATCTCCAGGCAGATGGCAGCAATCTCTTAAAGAAGAGAGATCCTCCCATAATGCAGTGTAGAGTATTGGTGATAAATTACTGACAGTCAGTGAACCCTTTGCCCGGATAAGGCAGGCTGTAACTAAACATTGCAGTATAATTTTGCCATGTCAGAGACTGTGTTTTTGAGTTCAGTAGCAGTGCTATCCATGGCACATGATGCTGATACATACTACTAAGCAATGCTCTTGCCCTTGGTGGTGTTATTTAAATGATATCTTTTACTGATAGGTGTGAAGCTTGGAGACAGGTGGGACAATGTCCTGAAGCGTGCAAAGCAGCACAGCAAAGACCACGTTCTTCTTTTCAATGATGTACACGTGTTGATGTCCTCACTTGGAGCCAAAGACCACAAAACTACGAATGAGCTTTTAACAACTCTTCAAGAACTTGCCAAGTAGGTTACGTGAACTAAAGTACTGTGCTGAATAAATATTTTGGCCTCTGAGCATCTGAGGGATGGTTTGTGTGGCTTGCAGAAGTGTTCCCACACGCTCCTCTCTGCTTTGCTGCCTCCCTGGGTGAGGCCTGGTTTAAATAGAGCGGTGTCCATTTAGGTCATCTCTGTAATTCTTTTTGTGAGTTGATGTCGAGAGGAGCTTCTGTTCGTGCTAAGCAAGAATCTCTTGTGTTTGTCACAGCCACTACGGAACGTTTGCCTTGTATTTTCTTGCTGTGTGTTCGTACGAAGTTACGTTATGTGCAGCGATAAAGGATTTCACCTGTATAACAATACGGACACTGTGCAGTGTGCCAGCTGTCTGTGCTGGTTCTTTCTGCTCTGTTTTCAGAGAAAGTAACAGTTAGCTGGTAGTGAGACTGTCATAGTCCCTCTCTAGGAAATTGGTTTCTAAGCAGTGCTGGAATAGTTCTTGAGCTTTCGAGTTCACTTACTTGCGTGAATCGTGCATTGAAGCTGTTCAACTTAACAGCGTTGTGTATTTCACTCACACCTTGATCAGAATTAAAATCAGGGCAGAGTTCTCTGGCTTTTTCCCAGCCAAGGTGATATGTTGCAAAGGCTTGGGCTTGTGACGTGTGTGAATGTGTGCAGAAGGATGAAATCTGATTGACTGATGAGTAATCCTAGAATCATAGAGTCACAAGGTTGGTAACAACATATAAGAGTTCTAGTCCAACCGTCTCTCATCACCATTGCCACCACAAGCACTGCACCATAATAAAAAGGTGCAAGTAAAATAACCTCAGCAAAAGTAACCGTGTAAGTATGGTACCTGAAATATCACGCTTGGTTGACTCAGAAGTAATTCTGTCTGCAGGCAGTGCCAGGCTGGCATTAAATATGCGTATTTCTGATTTGATTGATGAGAGTTAATCACTTTCTCGTTGTACAGAGAACCTGGCGAAGACCACGAGCTTTCTCTGGCTCCCAGTGTGGGGTTGCCATTACTGCAGGCTTTGGTGGAGTTTGAGAATGGGAACTGTGACAAAGCTGTAGATCTGCTGTACCCGATCCGTTACCAACTGATCCAGCTAGGAGGCAGTAATGCTCAGGTAAAGGACATCAACAGAAGATGTGACCCGAGATGTGACTGGGTCCACTTTCAGTAGCCTCCCTTAGGTGCTTTCATTATTAAGAGCCCTTGATTCCTGGAAAAGGGAACAAGCGAGCTGTGCTTGTGACTGAGTCCTGTTTGCCAGCACTTACCAGCAGTGTCAGCTATGAGGAAATGCCAAGAGGAAAACTTCACTTGGGGGCTGTTTTGTAACCAGCAGTACTTTCTCGGTTACTTACTAACTTAGCTCTGGACTCACTTCTTTTTTCAGAGGGATATTTTCAGCCAGCTATTGATTCATGCTGCTTTAAATTGCAAATCCCAAGCCAAACAAAACCTCGCTAAGTGAGTATTTTTCCTGGTAATTTTTTCTTTCTGTGGTGACAGGACTGTTTTAAAGTCAGGATGTAGCAGAGTAGCTCCAAACAACTGCGTCCGTGCTGAAATTACACGCAAGCATTCGCGCTGAATGCAGTAGCACTTAACTAAGATGGGAAGCGCAGTAGCTGTCTGTTCCCGAAGGGCAGTCTTACAGTATGGATGATTCGTTTGTGTTTGTTGAAGGGCAGTTGACTTTCAGATGTTCTGTCTTACCCTGTGGCATCTTGCCGCTTGGTTGTGTACTTAATGGACTCCTAAGGTTTGGTGACCTGCTGGAAATCAAGGTTATCCTCATGCTAGCAGCTGTTTTCCTGGCAAATAGGATGAACAGATTCTGATATGCCTGCTTGCTTTCGTGCAAATCACAAGAGTTTTGTTTAGTAGAAATCATAGGTGTTCCTCATTGTCCTGCTGAGAGTTCTGTTTAAATTTGTTAACTGAGCCTGCTGTGCACTTAAAGGAACGCCTGTCTCCTCAGGACAGCGTGAAGCCTTGCCTGTTTGCCTCTTGAAGTCTTTTTGAAACACGAGTGGTAGATAGAATATCAGAACGACTGTTTTGTGCCCTCTGCGTGCTGGTTTTCAGTCTGTGTCAGTGTTGGAAAGAACTCTTCTGCCTGATCTGACTGCCAAGGCCAGATGTTTTCAGTGAAGGAAATCAAGAGCAGGTCTTTAGGTGTTGTCTTCCTGCTCTTGTAGGGCTGTTGCTGACAGTCTTATGGGAAAAGCGATGTGCTCAGTGACTTTCTTCCCGTTTTCCTGCTACTTCTCCTTTTTCAGGTGCCTCCTGAGAGAGCGTGATGTGATGAGACCAAATTCACCAATGACAGAGCGACTCATAAGGAGGGCAGCGGCTGTTCATTCAGTGGCATAAATCTGTCCTCACTGCTAGCAATAAGCTCATCAATCGAAGTCTGGGTGCTTTGGGTGGAGGGATGCAGTGCTGTAAAGCATGCTGGAGAAATCCCTAGGAGCGAGAGACCTGATGACAGCTGACTTGGAAGATACAACCTGAAATGCAACAGCTTTAAATCCTGGATGATTCCACTAGGAA